AAAAATACTATTTTAATTTGACGTTGGGTGGTGGGCACACAATGCAGTATACTGATCGTGTATCATAGAAATCTACACTTGAAACCTATATGGTCTTGTTGAACAATGTTACCCCAATAAATTTAATAAAAAATAAAATGAAAAAAATACTATATTGAGAAGAGAATATTTGGAAGATAGACTTTGTTATTGAACACCAATGTAATGGGAAAAGATACATGTCTAAAGACCTGGATGGCTGTGAATAAATTTGGAAGTCCACATTAATTTTTGGATTATAGCTGAAATTCCAATAAAATTTAGAAGCTTAAGTCTGCCTTTATAAGGAAGGCTTTTCTGTGCAGGTTTAGATGGTAATGGGGATATAGAAATAAGGCTTTATCCTAAGATCTTGTATATTAGGCAGTAGGAAGGAAGGTTAAGTTCATTCTCTTAGCAGCTGAATATAGTGTTTCTTGGTTTGAAAGTCACTGTATTTATGATCAATATTCATACAGTCTTTCATTTAGCAAAAATATATTTCAAATAAATGGTTAGCCAAGCAAGAAAGATCCAGTCTTTGCCCTCTGAGTTTATGATCTAGTGATGGAGACAAACAAGTCATTACATAGGAATAGACATTTTAGGTAAAATCTGAAGGATGGGTAGAAGTTGGTGGAAAGATGCAAGTGGTGAAGGCTTATGAGCTATCTCATGTGGAGTACCTGAAATGTAATTTAGTCTCCTGGAAGATCTTGGACTGTTAACTGGTCCATGCTATTATTGTGCAGTGGAATTAGATACTATATATTCTTTTTGTTAGAAACTCTGTTGCTTACTCACAAGAGAGCTTTGTCTGTGAGTTTCCTTGGGAAATCCTAGGAGTATAACTATGGTTTTTCAAGCAACTGAAATGACCATGGTTCTAAAAAGTAATTAGTTAATGATGTTTCCATATGTGTAGGCATTTATAGTATCTCTGTTTTAGGACTTAGTGTGCTCTGTCAATAGCAAATATTTGTAATGTACTAATTATATGTTTGATCGATGTTTTAAAAAGTGAACTCAAGTGGTTTTAGCTGATTATTAAAGAAGAGTTCTATTTAGAAGTGCACTTCCAAAGTATTCATAGTTAATATGCCTTTACTTCAACTTGCTGCATTTTTAACCTTCTGAAGATGATTACTTTAGGGAAACGGAAGTGATGCAAAGCTTTATCTAATCCTCAAGTTGTTGTTTTTGTAGGTTTTTTTTTTTCTCTCTCTCTCTTTTTTGAGTCTTTACCACAGAGCATTTTCTTCTGTCCCCTCTATTTTCTGTTTTATATCCTTTTGAATAAATCAGTAGATCTCTAGGAAATCCTGCTCCTCCTAACCAAGAGCCCCAAATTTGTATGTCATCATTCATAATGGAGAAAATAAGTTATTTCCTTATCTTCTTTGTCAGCACCACATCTTCATTTGTTTATATCTTAATTTCTCTTTCAAAGCTTCAAGGGGAAGATGATTGACCTGTGCCATGACTTTTTTTGTTTCTTGAAAAGACTTTTTTCTTTACTTTTTATTGAATTTATTGGGGTGACACTGGTTAACAAAATTATACAGGTTTCAGGTACACAATTCCACAACATCATTTGTACACTGTATTGTGTGTTCACCACCCCAAGTCAAGTCTCCTTTCATCACCATTTATGCCCCCGATACCCTCCTTAAACTACCCTCACCCTTCTCTCCCTAGCAGTCAACACACTGTTGTCCATGTCTATGAGTTTTATTGAAAAGACTTTCATTCAAAATTGTGTTTTGTTCCTATATGTCAGGCACTGTACCAAGAATTTAATAATATGCAAGACAGACTCCATAATTTTATTATCTTTAATGATGATTTTTTTTTCTAGTAGTGTCCTTTGTTCTTTCATGGATTATCAATAACAACACTTAATTAGGATTGGATGAGTCTGGTTAGGTTTGTCATGGCTTTCGTCAGGACAACACATCAGAAAGAAAGCATATTTCTGAAAGATCGTGTCAAATTTACAGCTATTATATTTAAAGAGTCATCAAATATTGTTTTATTAATATTTAAATTGGCTATTATTTCAGAGAGTCACCAAATGTTAAATTCTTATAGAACTTTTAAATGTTTGTTAGAATAATAATCTGATTCTCTAGCTTTGATTTCATCTGCATGGGAAGAACTTTATACCTGGTCTATGGAACCAGTATTTGAAATTCCTCTTCATTTTCTTCCTTCCCATTTATTCTTTCACTCACCAAAATATTGACTTGGATTTTGATTTCCTTACTGCCCTATTCAGAATTTTTCTTTCCTGGTTTCTTTCCTTTATCCTAATTTGGAACTTATTTTCTTTAGCAAGTCACAGCAAAGGCAGAAATGTGTTGAGCCTTTTTGTCCTGCTCTCAAGCAGGGAGTTAGTGCTGCTTACTAAGATCCTGTGTGAGATGAATTTGAGATAATAGATAATAGGTAAGGAATAGCATCCTGTCAGAAATAAAGACGTGTGAATTTAAGAAGCAGATTTGAAAAATATGGGTATTTATAGTGTTGGTTGGAGCCACAGAAGTATAGCAGAGCAAAAAGAACTGGGCTTAGGAACACTCACTTGGAGGAACAATAACCAATAAAGAAGAAAGAGAAAGGTGTAGATAGGAAGTATAAACACAGAAGTACAAAGGTAGGAAAACCAAATGGCAAAATATTAAAAAAAAACAAACAAACTTGTTTAGTTTTTATTATATGCTTGTCTTATTATATTTATTAATATGCTATAGTAGAGGACAAGAAGAAAGACCCTTGGTTGTTTTTTGTTCTTGTTGTTTTTAGTTGATCTTTACAGACAATGGAAGGGAGAAAGAGAGAAAGAGAAACATCAATGTGATAGTGACACATATATTGGCAGCCTCATGCACACCCCCTATCTGTGATTGAGGTTGCAACCCAGGCATGTGCCTGACTGGGAATTGAACCTGCAATCTTTCGGTGCACAGGATGACACCTGCCAGGACAAAACCCTTGGTTTTAATATAAACATATCCTTGGAAACTCTGGGATGAGGAGTTTAAGCACAGTGGGGTTGTTTCTACTATCTTTTGTATTAAAATATACTCTAAAATTTAACAAATTAAAACAACCACTTGATTTTATTTTTTTATTTTTTTTTTATGATTCTGCAATTTGAGCCAGGTTCAACTGGGTGGTTTTACTAGTCTGTTAAAATTTATTAAATAGTCCAAGCTTGTTTCAGGGCAGCATGGCTAGAACTCTGTAGTTAAATGTGGTAATTCCTGTAGTGTCTCTGAAATTTGGAATTGAAATCAATAAACATAGCATGTATTAGTAAACTGACTCTGTGGAGGGGAAAACTACCTGATTTGTGATATTTGCCGATATCCATGGAGTAAATACTACCACTGTGGCTGATTTCAGGCTACCCATGTGGAGTCATTAAACTTGCAGTTTGGAAGAGATGCAGACATTCCACTCTCACCAGCTAACACGAGCCAGCCTCAGACTCCAGACACTCCTGTAAAACATCCCCGTCCTAATTTCTTGATCTACAAAGAATTTGAGACAGGTTAACAAAATAAACACTTAATAAAATAGGGTTAAGAAAATGGGTGAAGGCTTTTATGTAAAAGGAAAATTAAATGAAAATAAAAATAAGAATAAAGTTAGTAATATATTAAATAAATGCCTATAATAAGGCTCTCAGTACTTGCTGTAGGTGAACTAAGGATTTGCCTAAAGCAAAGAGGAAATGAGCAGTAATAGTGTTCGCAGTGTACCTTGGGTAAAAACATATCACCTGCTCAGGAGGAACAAACATTTCCTGATGATAGATCAGTGAACAATAAGAGGGACACTGCATCTTCAACAACATTCTTCCAAAAGTAGGAGGGCACCATTGTTTAATACAAGGTGCTGACAGTGCCAAAATGGTTCAGAAAAGGTATGTTGTTTTCTTAGAAAAAAAGGTAAAATTGGCAATTTGGGATCTATAATAGAAGAAGGAATTTGTATGTTATTGCAAAGATATCTGGGAATCTCTGCTAGTATATTTAGGCTATTTAGAAAGCTAATTCCATCTGCATCAAGTATTTTCAGGAAGCTAATAAAATATTTACATGCTTCTAAGTATGAGATAATTAGGGATTCAACAAAGACAGTAGCTATGGATTTAGGTATAAAGAAAATTCATCACCCTAGCCGATTTGGCTCAGTAGATAGAGCGTTGGTTGGCCTGCGACTGAAGGCTCCTGGGTTCTATTCAGGTCAAGGGCACGTACCTCAGTTGCAGGCTCTTCCCCGGTCCAGGCCCTGGTGGGGACGCATGCAGGACTCACATTCATATTTCTCTGTCTTTCCCTCTCTCTGCCACTCTCTCTAAAAATCAATGGAAAAATATCCTCGGGTGAGGATAAAACAAAAAAAAAGAAAATTCATCTATGAGAAAGTTTGTATAAAAAGAAATAGCACGATCTAGTAATAGGCTTCCTGTTGAGAGCATTTCAAAATAACTACTATGAAATCATTCCTGTGTTCTTTTTTATTGCTAATGATAATTCATTTTTGATATTTTGGTGTCATTCCTTAATCAGTTCTTTGAATGTTGACTTTATGGAGGAGATTAGAGTAGGCTCTTAAAATTAAGAGTAAGATATGATCTCATCTTCAATTTTTGGTATCTTATTCTATGATCCTTTCCTCATTTCTTTCTGCCCATGCTATCCTTGGTTAGCCTCATCTTCATATTTCATGTTGTTGGTCTTGGACCCAACCCACTTATGATCTTAAGCAGGTTTTTCCTGTTATGTTACTCCTCTGCAGTGGTGGCTGATCAGGCAGCCGTACTTGAAGGCGGGTTAGGAAAGAGGTTAAGGTCACCAGCAAGTGCTTAGAGTTCCTGTTCTCATCACTATCACTTCTGGGTCCTTCTCTTGTTCCTCCTGGGCACAGAGGTGCTTGCTGGTAGTAATTCCTCCCTGCCCACCTTTCCTTAGAACCCGTGCGTGCTGCTGCTTCCTACAAACGGCAGAATGAAGGAAAGCCAGCAAGAGGTGAGTTTTGAGCTAGATTTTTATTTGGGGTTGTGAAAGGGTGGGGGCTTGAATTGACTGAGGTTATAGAGGGAAAGTGTGTAACTGCTCCAGTAGTCTACTGTTGGAACCAGAGCTGAACAGTAGACTCAGATAATAGGGGATACAGGGGTGAGGTGTCTGGACCAGCCATTCCTGTTCCGCAGTAGTTACCTCATAGAAGGTTGAGATCTATAGACTTAGACAAGTCATTGACAGGTACAACAGTAGGTCCACGGGATTTCTTTTTACCTTTCCTGTGCCCTTTCTGCTACCTCCTATGTCATTCTTTTCTTTATCTTTTGCTTCTTGCCTGTCCGTCCCTTTCATGCACTTGGTATATATGAATACATGTGGCTATATGCCAGGCCACCTGCCCTACCCTTCAGTGTTCCTTTGCTGCTGCACACTGACATTAGTTGATACCTGCTTAAATTAGCCCTTCTGCAGCTACCATCAAGATAGATTGTAAGACTATACTTGGGCACCATACTTGGCATAGCCATAGTGCTGATGTCTTGTTTGTAAAGGAAATGCTAGGTAAGAAATTAACAAGTGCTTGTGAAAGTTTTTTCTGTGTCTAGCTGCTGTGTGCCAGAATTGAACCTACAATTATGCCTTTAATGTGCTGTGCTTGTTGGTTCAGCTCATTTCCTTTCAAGGAATAGATTATCTGAATAGGATGGGGAGTTCGTTGCAGTCTCAGAGTAAAAAACCAAATGATCTTTTCACCAAATTTTTGAGTGCCTACTCTTTTACTTAAAGGACTCAAGCTAGGTAGGTCCTGAGTATTCAGAAGTAAGTAAGCTATGATACTTGTTCCTCTAGGTGCTTTTGGTGTTGGGGCTAGGACTGACACTGTCACAGTGTCATGTGGAATTTACCATGTGCAATGGAAATACAGTAGGGAATGACTAAATAAGCCATGCTCTGAATTATTTGGAGGTGTAGTGATGATTGGTATGTTATTTTTGATTTTTAAGGTCTACAAGAACTTTTAAACTTGCTTAGTATGAAAACTTCTTAATGATACCACAAGTTAAAAGACTCTAGGGTTATGTCTTTTTTAAGACTGTTGGAGCTTCAGAGTTGGAATACTGTGCCTATAGCAGGAATGACATTTGTTGTGTCCGGTACATTTCTGGATGTTTAGCAGCATCCCTACCCTCTGTTTACTATGTATCAGAGGCAACTCTCCCCTTGTGAAATAAAAAGTATCTTCATACATTGCCAAATGTCCCTATAGAGGTGAGGTTGGGGCGGGCGGATGAGAGGGCTCAGAAAGCCTTTCTGGTCTGCAGGACATTAGGAAGAGATGGTACTCACTGCTCTCCTAAGGGCCTCAGAAGCCTGTGTGTCTCCAGGCCCTTGCTTAGCTATCTCGGCCACGGCAGGAAGAGCCTAAGAGGCGTTTTTTTGACTGAAGCTGGCTTTGCCTCAGTTGCAAAGTCGTTTTGTCTCTGCCTCTGCTCTTGACTGTTTTCTTGGCCTTAATTCACTGTCCAGCCTTGACCAGCTTCTGTGTCACTGCAAACTTGGTGTCACTTTTTCCTCTTCTTCATAATTTCACCAGTTTTTCTAGAAGAGCAAGGGATTTATGTTATAGTTGACACATATAGACAATGTAATGAAAAATGTTTTCTGTCAGAAACAACTCATTGTTATTTTTAAGATTATATTTAACTAAACTCATTTTGTTGTTATTATTGTTGTTGTTAAACCGGCTAAATTAATATTATTTAAATCTATTTTCTGGCTAAAGTTTCTATAAAATTAATGGTATACATAGAGCACTGTCATGGGTGTCTGAATTGACTAAAGATAAAGGTTAATGCTTTTATCTCATTCAGATTTATTATTAACCATTTACCACATATCTAGGTACTCATTTATATCTGGTGCTGGATTAGCCCTCTAAATTATAGTTTTCTAGTTTTTAATTTTATTTTTTAGGCTGTCTAAACATTTCAGGAATACCTGCTAAATTTCTTACATGCTTCTCTCTGTGAGCTGTTGCTTAATTAGCTAGTTCTCTTTGTTGTTATCTACACAATAACTCCCTTGGGTTTTTATTGTGATGTATTAAAAGTTAAGATTTTAAGAACTTGGAGGAGGAAGCAGTTATGATTTAAAATTTTTTATTTTTGCCTTTCTTGAGGTCTTCTCAGTGGTTCTGTGTTTGCAAACTGGCATTGGCGTGGCCTATACAGATGGCCAGATATGATGTCCAGTGGTTCTAGGTTAATTAAAAATTTTGATGATGCTCAGCCTCTTAGAAGGATCAGTAGATTTAAATATTAACTGGTTTAATTTAATAATGTAGTGGACGATTTCAGTACTACAATAAGTGTATACTCCCCTTGTTTATTCAAATACAAAATCACATTAATTGAAAACAGATGAGCTAAAAAATTTCATTGTACATTTTCTTATGTAGATAAAGAGAGACCTGTTCAGTCTTTGAAAACATCAAGAGACACTTCACCCTCAAGTTCTTCAACAGTTCCTTCATCAAAGGTTTGTTATATTTATAAAATCAATTTGAAGAGGAATTACAAAGTAAACGATACGGACTGTCTAGTACAGATGCTTTTATTCTTTATTGTCATAATGGGGGTAATTTGCATTTAAAAACTTGAATCGTAAGTAACCACAGCTTGAAAGTAGCTACCAGAGTGAATGAGCAGTTTTATCATAGATTTTTTCCCACAGGTTATGCTAAAATTAGTATTTGCTGCTGCCCTTGCTCATCTTGACCATAACCAGGTAGCAGTGAATGTTCAGTTGGGACATATTTGATGGACATCATGATGAAGTGGGATTTATTTCATAGATGCAAGGATGTTTCAACATCCATAAATCAATCCATGTGCTATACCACATGAACAAAATGAAGGATAATATTATATGACCATATCATTAGTTGCAGAAAAGTCATTTGACAGAGTTCAACATCTATTCATCCACTCATGATAAAAATTCTGAACAAACTGAGTATAGAGGAAATGTACCTTGACATAATAAAGGCCAAATGTGACAAGCCCATAGCTAACATTGTACTCAGTGGTGCAAAGCTAAAAGCATTTTCTAACATCAGGAACAAGATAGGGTGCCCACCCTCACCATGTTTAGTCAGCAGAGTGCCGGAAGTCCCAGCCAGAGCAGTTATGCAAGGAAAAGAAATTAAAGGCTTCCAATGGGAAAGGGAGAAGTAAAGCTGTCTCTATTTGCAGCTAGCATAACACTATAGAAAACTATAAAGAATCTACACTAAAATTGTTAGAACTAATAAATTCAGTTAAAGTTGCAGGATACAAAATGAATATTGGAATAATAAGTTGCATTTCTATACACCAAAAGGGACTATAAGAAAATGAAATTAAGATATTCCCATTTATAATAGCATAAAAAAGAATGAAATACTTAGAAATAAATTTAACCAAGCAGATAAATGATCTGTATATTGAAAACTATAAGACATGGATGAAAGAAATTGAAGAGGTAAAAAATAAATGGAAAGACATTTTGTGCTCATGGATTGGAAGAATTAATATTGTTAAAATGTCCATGCTATCCAAACAATCTACAGATTCAATGCAATTGCTATCAAAATTCCAATGTCATTTTTCACAGAAATACGACAAACAATCCTAACATTTATATGGAGCTAAAAAAGACCCCAAGTACCCAAAGTGATCTTGAGAAAAAAGAACAAGGCTGGCGGCCTCACAGTTACTGACTTTAAACTATATTACAAAATTATAATGAAACAGTATGGTATTAGCATAAAAACTGACATATCGATTAATGGAGCAGAATAGAGACTCAGAAATAAACCCATGCATATATGGTCAATTAATTTATAACAAGGAACCAAGACTGTACAATGGGGAGAGAACCGTCTTTTCCATAAAGTCTGTTGGGAAAAACTGGGTAGCCACATACAAAAGAACAAATTGTATTCCCATTTTACACTATAAGTGAAAATCCACTGGAAGTGGATTAAAGACGAAACCTTAGAAGTTCTAGAAGAAAACTTAGGATAAGCTTGACATTGGTCTTAGCAGTGATTTTTAAAATTTGACACCAAAAAGCAAGGGGGAAAAAAAAGGCAAAAAATAAACTAATGGGACTACATCAAATTACGTTTCTGTACATAAAAGAAAAACCATCAACAAAATGAAAAGGCAACTTACAGAATGGGAGAAAATATCTTCAAATCAAATATCTGATAAGGGATTAATACCCAAAATATATAAAGGACTTATTTAACTCAATAGGAGAAAAACAAAAATTCTATTAAAAAATGTTCAGAGAAACTGAGTAGACATTTTTCCAGAGAAGGTATACAAATGACCAACTGGTACATGAAAAGGTTGCCAACATCACTAATCACTAAGGAAATGTAAATCAAAACTACAATGAGAGGTCACCTCAAACCTGTTAGAATGGCTGTCATTAAAAAGATAAGAGGTAAGTGTTGAGGAAGGTGTGTAGATAAGGGAACCTTTGTACGTATACTGTTGGAGGGAATGTAAATTGGTGCAGCCATTATGGAAAACAGTATGGAGGCTCCTTAAAAATTAAAAAATAGAGCAACCATTTGATCCAGCTATCCCACGTCTGGGTATATACCCAAAGGAAATGAAAATAGGATATTGAAGGGATAACTGCATTCCCATGTTCATTGCAGCATTATTTACAATAGCTAAGACCTTAGTGTCCCACAGTGGATAAATGGATAAAGAAGTTGTGGTGTATGCATACAATGGGATATTATTCAGTCATGAGAAAGGGACAGCTTGCCTTTTACAACATGGATGGACCTTGAGGGCATTATGCTAGGTGAAATAGAGAAAGACAGTACTGTATGATCTCACTTATACGTGGAATCTAAAAATGCAGAATTTACAGAAACATTGACGAGAAAGGTAATTACCAGGGGATGGGGGTGGTGAGTGGGGGAAAAGGAGAGATGTTGGTCACAGTTCTGGGGATCTAATGTACAGCATAGTGATTATAGTTAATAATAATATATCATATACTTGAAAGTTGCTAAGAGATCTTAAATGTTCTCACCACAAAAAAGAAATAGTAATTATGTGAGGTGACGCAGGTGTTCAAGTAACACTATGGTTGTAATTATCTTGCAATTTTAAAATATAGTTATATATCTCCATTTTATAGAAAAGGCTCAGAAGTTAATTTTCTCAAGGACATAACTACTCTTCACTACATCATTCTTCCAGTTCGTATCTTCGCAGCATCCTAAAACATGTTGAAAAGATGATTTTGGGTTCTAATATTCAAAACTTAAAAATTTTGAGGAGTTGTTTTTTCTATCTGTTCTCTATAGTTAGAGATTCTGTTCACCAACCTCACACTCTTTTACTGTTGTTACATCTCTTCTTTCCTCACTTCTTTTTATTTTTCTGTCTTTGGTACATTTTGATTTTCAGCAAGAGTAGGTAACACAAGAGTAGATACAGTTTATGCTGCTGTTAAAGTGACAGCGCTTCTCTGCATAAAGGAAAAGAAAATGGTGTCTTAGTGACAACTTATATCTTTAGAGCTTTCCTAGAAATCAGGATTTTAGAATGCTGGGTTTTGAATAGGAAAGACTGAGTCATTGGTTCTCAACCTTCCTAATGCCGCGACCCTCTAATACAGTTCCTCATGTTGTGACCCAACCATAAAATTATTTTCGTTGCTACTTCATAACTGTAATTTTGCTATGTTATGAATCGTAATGTAGATACCTGATATGCAGGATGTATTTTCAGGGGTCGCGACCCACAGGTTGAGAACCACTGGATTAGATTTTCTTTTTCTGTCTTGCCTTGTTAAGGTGCATTATCCACCTGAAAGACCAGCTTGTTTTTCTTGTTAGGTAGAAGTGAAAGAGGAGCAAATAGTACTTGCCCATCCAAGTCACTGTGGATATTTAAATTATTATACATGAAACACTCATTTACCTTGAACTATGATGCCATGAAAAAACAAGTTACAACATAAAATTTTGTGGCACATGTTAAAATATATTTAGTGGGAAACGATAATGGATTTTAGATATTTTTGTCTGACAGTTTATGTAGATTGTTTGCATTTTTGTCTTAAGGTGGAATCAGAATTTCAGATTTTAGATCTAGAATCATTTTATGTATTTGGAAAGTGCACCTTCCTTTGTTTTTTGCCCAGAGTTACATGGTAGCTCTGGTGAGCTCTGTTACCTAGATTTCCTGATTTGGTTGGAGGACTTTTTCTTTTCAATAGTATGGCTGCTCTCATGTAGGAGGTCAAAGGCCTTTGTTTCAGAATTTGTTTTCTGCTTTTAGAAGTTAGTTTCAAATGAGAGTTTTTTAAATGGACAGATTTAATGACAGATGAGTAGAGGATTGAGTTATAGAAGATTTTGCTTCCTTTATTACTAGAGATAACTTACAATGTTTGTTTCGGTTTTGCTCTATAAAACAGATACCCCAAAAAGTGAGGTGTAATTTTCTTCTTTGATACATTTGTGTGCTGTCCTCTTAATTTTTAAAAAACGTTTAAATTCTATTGCTAAGTAATAATAAAGGAATTACTTATACATTTTAACTTTATGTATGGGTAGGTCTTTGGACTTAGATATTTAGGCTTCTTCAATAACCGTGGAATCCTACCACATATCTTCCAGTAAACATTACAGATGGCAAGCCAGTGGGTTGGTGAATTGAATAACCTATGGAAGGAGGTCAAGGGCCTTGTTGTACTGGAAGACCTAGTTTTAAATTCCAGCTCAGGATTTACTAGCAACTGGCAAATAACTGTTCTTTTGTGGGGTTTTTTTTTTTTTTTTTTTTTTTTTTTTTGACATTCAGTTTCTTGGTTTATAAATTGGGGTAATACAGTCTACCCTAGCCATCTTCATGGAATACCATTTAATTAAAATACTTTTGTTTTTGGTTTACATATACAAGTACTTTATAAGTGGTAGTATACTATAACACAAGGATTACTGGCCCTATGATCCAGAGGAGATATATTTGGAACCAATGATGTGACTTTAAAGAAGAGGTGGGGATAAGATTAGGGGTGAAGGGCCTAATTGATGAAAATGTATGCTAATAAAATAGAATGGAATCAGTTACCATAAGGGCCTAAGGAAAGAATTGTTCTAATTTTTGCCTTACAATTTTTACATCTTATTCTATAACATAGGTCTGTAAAATGTATTAGGAGAATCATATGTAATCCAGGAAAAACATTTTATTTTCTTCATTTTTATATTGAGCACATGGAGTGATCAATCTTCAAATATATTTTAGTTATTATAACAGATTTATAACAATGAATATGGAAAAGAAAGAAAAACTAGACTCCTAAGCATTATGCTAGGTGCTTTCAGGTCTGTTACCTCTCTTGATTCTCACAACTACTTTGTAAAACAGTGAATATTGTTAATTTTTTAAAAAATTTCAAATTATAGTTAACACTAGTAGCCCGGTACACGAAATTCATGCACATTAAAAGGGAATTAATTGCACTAACCGGTTTGGCTCAGTGGATAGAGCATCGGCCTGTGGACTCAAGGGTCCCAGGTTCGATTCCGATCAAGGGCATGCAACTTGGTTGCGGGCACATCCCCAGTGGGGAGTGTGTAGGAGGCAGCTGATTGATGTTTCTATCTTTCCCTTTCCCTTCCTTTCTCTCTAAAATAAATAAAAACAACAACAACAAAAAGAATCTCTTTAAAAAATGAACTTTAAGTTTATTGATTTTGTGTAAAGAGTAAGACTTATATAACTTATTACAAATTATAAAAATAGCATATCTGGACTTTTCTGTTGCACTAATTAGAAATTTACCGTGATGAGATTTGGCATTATTTATTTCAGTGAATATAATTGCAGATAGAAAGTTGAAATCCATATGATGTCTTAATATGTTCTAAATACTATTAGTATATTAGTTTCATTGTCAGTGTCTTTTGTTCCTTAGATGAATTTCTGAAGTTTTATGTAAATGGAATTAAAAGCTAATCTATATGTCCCAAATGAATTGCTACTTGAATTCAATGTTGAATATTTTTGAAAAAGCAAATAAAGAATGTACTTGTTCCCTAGATGTATTTGAAGGCTTCTGTGATTTTAAGTGTAAGTGGGGTGTACTTCTTGATGTATTTGAAGTTTAAAAGCCCTTGAGAATTGTAACAGAACTGTTCTTTTATTTTTATTAGGTGTTAGACAAACCCAGTAAGCTAACTCAAAAGGAACTTGCTGAGGCTGCAAGCAAGTGGGCTGCTGAGAAGCTAGAAAAGGCAGATGAAAGTAACTTACCTGAAATTTCCGAGTATGAGGTAAGGCATCATTTCTTCTTTATGTTTCCCATCTGAGATTTTTAGTCAAAATTTTAAATTATGGGCAGAAAATATTTGATTCTAATATTTTAAAATATATTTGGGGAAACTATTCTTATGTATTATTAAAATTTATCACATACGGTAATAGTGTGAATATGAATGACTGAATTCAACAACTATACTGTCAATGTCTCCAATAGTTTAGAAGTGTAAGAATAATATAAATATGGAATAAAATGAAAATGTACTATCTATACTTCACTGTTAAAAGTATCTCTAGAAATCATGCTAAGCCACTAGTGATAAAACAGTGAATTCAGAACAGAAATCTAATTAATTAGAACTTGGGTCTTGGGCTATATTTATGTTGTATATTCTAGTTTATGCAAATTAATCTCATAAATATCCCAAGAAATGAAATTATGCATTGTTTGCACTACCTGTGACCTTTGATGAGTCTTGAGTACCAAAAGGTGAGAGCATTTTTGGATCCTTAGAATATTGTTTTGAAATGTTTGTGTTATATTTGAAAATGAACTGAAAAATTTCTCCAAAGCTTATAACATCTCTAATAGAGAAATATAGACGTTTTATGGGCAAAATTAAGCATTTTAGATTCAAGATTTGGTGCTTGAGGAATTATTTTAGTAGGCAGAAAATATACAAATTTTTGTACTATGACAAATTATGTTTCTTTGGAGGAGATTTATGGCTTTTCAGTATGTTTTGGATGCCTTTCACGGAATGTTCTTTGATAAAAAGGATCAAGCATTGGAATTCTATATTCTGTATACCTACATATATCTTCATAAACTATGAAAAGATCCTTTCCAAAATACCTAATATACACTGTTCCAAAAAGTACAAACCTGTACAGACCCTACCTGTCCTTATGCAAATAGAGACTTTCTTTTATCTGCCATTTAGATAACAAATATTCTTAACTAGGTAAAGGTTTTCTCTTTATTGTAGCTGTAAAATAGATTTTATTTTCTTTCTGTAAAATAGATATTTATACATATTCTTGAATACATTTTTCAAAAACATCAAGCTGTCTGTCCATCTTTGGTACCTTACCAATACTATTTAAATGCACGAACAATACAGTGATACATTTAATTGGTTAGTTTTGCTTATTTCCTTTGCTAATTTAGAATAATGATTTTTATATTAGTAACAGATATAAATACTTCAAAATTGCTGTTTTAGAGAACTGATAATTTTTTTCAGGGTAGAGTAAAACACCTCCAAACGCAATACATTGTTGTTTGTTAAATACTTTATTTTCAATTAGCAAGGCTTTATTAAGATATATTTATTCTACCTTACCCATCCCCATCATTTTTTAATCTCTTAAATTAGAAAAAGAATCTCACGCCCGGTCGGTCGGCATGGCTCAGTGTTTAAGCATCGACCTATGAGTCAGGAGGTCACGGTTTGATTCCCAGTTGGGGGCTCGACTCCAGTGGGGGGATGTGCAGCAGGCGGCCTATTGATCGATGATTCTCTCATCATTGGTATTTTATTTCTCTCTCCCTCTTCCTTCCTCTCTGAAATCAATAAAAATATATATTTTTTTAAAAAAGAACCTGATGATCTACCTTTCTCAGACTTTAAATATGCTACTTATTTTTATTATTGCTTGACTGGATCTTGATTCTGAGTAGGCAGTTACATTGGGTCTAGAAAGAAATTTTTAAAACCTTATTTTTTTTCTAAAATATGCCCATAATTTCCTAGATTTTGAATTATTGAGAAGTAAACAACCATAAAAATCTATAAGGAATGTCATAGATCAGGCATGATCTTCTGTTGAACCAAAGGCAAACTGTGAGAGTAGAATTGTGATTACTGTAGCGTGTTTGTTGTATATCATTAATATTGACAAGCAGCATCAAGTTCGTAGCATTGTCTAAAATGTTTTTCAAGTTAGATTGATACTCTTTCATATTGGAAATAAAGCAGGTAGGAAATTTTTATTTCATACTCTATTTTTTATTTAAGTATTTTATACTCGATTTTTTGTTTAAAAGTTTAATCCCACCATATCTTATTAACATTTTGCTCAGATAGTTAACATTTGTTCTTGGGTAGATGTTATATAATTACTCATTTCAGTGATCCATATCTTTGAAATACAGAGTATTTGAGAATTTTGACCTCAGATCTGTAAACTAGTATCAGGGTTGAAAGAATAAGCTGGGAGAGAAAAAGGACTTTGATGCCTGGAAAGAGTTTGATATAGTACTGTGTGTGTATGTGTGTGTGTGTGTGCGCACGCGCATGTGCATGCACACTTAAATTTAGCTGTGACAATATATTATTTAAATAATGGTCTGTGTACTATGTAGGTTCATTTTCATGAGTAGAGAGACATTAAATATTTAGGTTTCCAGTTTATCTTCTCTTGCTGCCACCAACATAGTTTTAAGCAATTTGGTAGGGAGACCTTATAGATGAACTCCAGTGAAATGGATGATACTTTTAGTGATAAATATTCAGGAATGTTGCAGTTCATTCCTCTGTTTCATTTTATAATTTTACGATTGGCCACTTTTTCTCAAAGCATTTGTTAAAACAATAATTCTGAAGGGACCTAATAGTCTGAAGAAGAAAAATAAAAAGATTCTACGAGCCAGTATGTTTGGGAAATGCTTGATTTAAAAGAGTCAGGTTGATTTTGATAATTCAGCAATTTTCAGAGATTTTAATATGTTAACACGCTCATCCATGGGCTATGAAAGGAGGGTGAATAATGAAGTTTGAATAATTTATTAAATTAAGTAATTATGAAATTTTTTCCATAGTGCCTATTTTAGGATTAGTATTTTAAGGCACATGTTTTCAGAACATAATACTGTACTGGCTTTCTCATAGTTTATTTAAATTCACTGCATATTCATTCTTCATTACTTGTGTCAAACACTGCATTAGAGACACCATCCTAGCTGCCAAGGAGTTTATAGTCAAATTATATAGAGATATAATTTACTGTCCTAACACAAACAGCCAGGAGAGTTTTCCTTTTGACTCTCAGAATGAAAAGCAAATTAGGTAAAGGCTGGAATGTCCCAGTGGAACAGGTTGTTGTTGTTTTTTTGCTGTAGAAGAAAATTTAAACTTTTTTATGTAGATGCAAAAATGTGATTTATGTTTTTGCACATATAAGGTGTCATTTTCTACTTCAATATCTTTGCTATTGTCCCCAGTGAAGAATGCCCATCTTTGTGGTCCTCATTTCAGATTCATTCAGTGAAATCAATAGTGTTTGAGAAAACAAGATCCAAGATCTTTCTTTGATTCCACTTTCCTCTCCTTCCTATTATAAAATTTTATGTATTTGTATTTCACTGATGACCTTATATTGCCTTTGTTAAAACAATTTTTTACTTGTCTAGTTCTACATATTGAAATGTGTGTGTGTGTGTGTGTGTGTGTATATATATATATATATGTATGTATATATATATATATATATATATATATATATATATATATATATATATATATATATATATCTCAAACACCTTGTTTTCCCTACAAAACCTTGGATAATATATATCTAATTAGGAGTTTATACCTTTTGACCACCTTCATCCAGTTCTCCCTCACCACTCCTCTCCCTCCCTGCGCCCACCCCCCGCCCCCCCACCAGCCCTCATCTCTGGTAACCACAAATCTAGTCTTTTTTTCTATGAATTTTTTTCTTTTTGAAGATTCCATATGAAAGTGTGATCATAACAGTATTTGCCTTTCTCTGTCTAACTTTGCCAGGTAAAAGGGACAGGTGCTAAATTTGGATAAATGCTGCCAAGTCATTTTCTAAATAAGTGGCAGAATACAACATACTAGGTGTTAGAATGCCACTGCTTTTACTGGTGAAAAATTACCAGTAATTAGTATATGTCTTTTGTTGTTGTTAATCATCACCCGCAGATATCTTTCCATTGATTTTTAGAGAGAGAGAAAGACAGAGGGAAACATCGATGTGAGAGAAACACATCGATTGGTTGCCTCCTGCAGGAGCCCTGAACAGGGCCCGGGCTGGGAAAGAGCCTGCAACCAAGGAATGTGCCCTTGCTGGAATTGAACCTGGGACTCTTCAATCCTCAGGCCGATGCTCTATCCACTGAGCCAAATTGGCTAGGGGGAATATGTCTTATGACTTCTCTGAACCTACTGCTGTTTGCCATAACTTCAATCATAAAAATCCTAACTTTTAAAATAAGTACATGTTTCTTATTTCCTCCCTTACCTTCCACCCACCTAAAATATGCAACAGTAAAATACATGAACTCAGCTTACTCTAAGTAATTGCTTACTGCGTGCTACATGAAGGCAAGAGCTTTTGTCTTTTTTGTTCATTATTATATCTGTTGTTCCTAGAGAAGTGCTTGGCATTTGTTATATAGTAAAGTTTTGTAAAAACTAATGAGTGTAGTTAAAATAAAAGTCTTTCCTCATTCATTTTTTTTTCTCTAGTGTTTTTAGAAAGTACAAGTAATTGGCTGTAGTCTTTTTGTGGGATAATTTTTTAAAAATATATTTTATTGATTTTTTACAGAGAGGAAGGGACAGGGATAGAGAGTTAGAAACATCGATGAGAGAGAAATATCGATCAACTGCCTCCTGCACACCTCCTACTGGGGATGTGCCCACAACCAAGGTACATGCCCTTGACCAGAATCGAACCTGGGATCCTTGAGTCCGCAGGCCGACGCTCTATCCACTGAGCCAAACCGGTTAAGGCATTTTTGTGGGATAATTTATTCATTAATGAATTGTTCTAAAATAGAAGTTATTGCTTTTGGGGATTGTTTTCTTTTTATTTCAATAAATTTTTAGGCTATAGGAGCAAGGTAGTTTTAACTTCTGAAAATAGAGCTCTTTTTCATGTTCTGTTTAAAAAAATCTGTTTTTATTGATTTTTAGAGATTGAGGAAGAGAGAGGGAGAAAAGGAAACATTGATGAGAGAGAAACATCACATAAATTGGCTGCCGCCTGCATGACCCCTTCTGGGGATCGAGCCAGCAACTGAGTCATGTGCCTTGACTGGGAATCAAACCAGTGACCTCTTGGGCCATGGTTTGACATTCAACCACTGCGCCACACTGGCCAGGCCCATGTTTATGTTTATGTTTACACACACCCCTCACTTCCAATTAGGATTTTTCTCTTCAGTATTTATTAAATAGATTGCTTAAGGAAGAGTTATAGGACAGAACCTTCTAGCTGTGTCAAAATCACATGAAATATAATTTTGGAATTAAATAAGTCTGGAGACTTTGTCATACTTAAAATTTTTTCCTCTTTAATTCTCCTTATTATGCATAATGAAATTGAAAGTGCTTTCTTAAAACAGGTTAAGTTTAGCACATTCTCTTAATATAATCTGTAAGTTAGCGCCTATACACGTTATCTGAAATGCTATATGTCCTTTAACAAAGCAATTAAAGATTTTTAATTTCTCTTAAAGGCAGGATCCACAGCACCATTGTTCATTGACCAGTCAGAAGAACCTGAGTCAAATGCAGCAGACGGCATAGAATTATTTGAAGATAGTCAGCTAAACAGCCGCTCCAAAGCAATAGCATCAAAAACCAAAGAGATTGAACAGGTGAGAATCCAGTCTTCTTAAGGTTCATAATCTTTTGTTCATGTCACTTTACACATGGTATTTACAGTAAATAGTTATTGAATAAATAGATTTCATTTTGTCCTTTCCCACTTATGACTCTGAAATAATTTTAAAAATTCTAAAAATTGTTTGATTTGATTTCACAGTAATTTTGGTCAGTTTGGTCCCTGGCCCCTGTTTACTTGTTTATTTTTTAAAAGCAAAATTCCTTTTCAGAGAATATTAATATTCTAGTTAGTATGGAGAAATTTAAAAACTAATAAAAGTAATAGGAATGGGCTAAAAGAAATATACCAAATGTTAGTAAATTTTTTTTGAATATTGGGATTAGAGACATTTCTTATGTTTTTCATTATACTTTTAAGCATTTTTTCAAATATTAAAGAAAAATGAATGATAGCTCTTTAAATCTAATTTTAATGATGTCCTTCCTGAAAGTTAGGATCTTGTTTTTGATAGATTAAGTAGTTTGCTTAAGGCATAGTTATAGGACAAAAACTCTGGTGTGAAATATAATTTTGGAATGGAAAATGCCTAGAGGCTTTGCTTTACCAAAGATTAAAAAAAGTAGCAATCATTGTCTTTTTAATCCTTCTCACTGTGCTCATAATACGCATAGCAAAATTTAAAGTGTTTCATTTTGTAAATATTGCCTGCCTCATAGGGTATTATCACTTTGTGAGGATTAAATGAATAAACTGTTAAAGGGCTTTATAAAATGTAACATGTTATACAAAGTGTTTTAAAAAAAATATATGTTTTTATTGATTTTAGAGAGAGTAAGTGGGAGAGAGAGTGAGGTAGAGAGAAAGAGAGGTTAGAGAAAAATATGATTGGTTGCCTCCTGTATATGCCCTGACTGGAGACCAAATCCAAACTTGGGTAAGTGCCTTGACTGTGAATTGAACTGGTGACCGTTTGGTGCGCAGGACGATGCTTAACCAACTGAGCCACATAGGCCGGGGCACAAGAGTTTGTTTTTGCTGTTTCTCTTCAATGTCTTGAGTCAATGTCATTATATTGTTACTAGAGGCCCGGTGCATGAATTCGTGCACTGGTGGGGTCCCTTGGCCTGGCCTGCAGGGATCGGGCTGAAACCAGCTCTCTGACATCCCCCGAGGTGTCCCGGATTGTGAGATGGCAGAGGCCAGGTCCAGGGACCCCACTGGTGTACGAATCCGTGCACTGAGCCTCTAGTATGCATATAAGATCGTTGGTTAATCTCTTCCCGCCCTCCTCCCTTCCCCCTTTCCTGTGAGATTCATCAGTCTGTTCCATGTTTCCATGTCTGTGGTTTCCACTCCTGCGTTGAGCATCTGCCCCCTGGTGGTCAGTGCATGTCATAGCTACTGGCCGGTTGGTCAAACAGTCGGCCAGCCACTTAGGCTTTTATATATACTAGAGGCCCGGTGCACAAAAATTTATGCACTCGGGGGAAGGGGGGGGGGGTCCCTCAGCCCGGCCTGTGCCCTCTCGCAGTCTGGGACCCCTCGGGAGATAACGACCTGCTGGCTTAGGCCTGCTCCCGGGTGGCAGAGGGCAGGCCCAATCCCTAGGTGCAGCCCCTGGTCGTGCTCAGAGCAGGGCCGATTGGGGAGTTGGGGCGCTGCCCCTGTCGTGCACAGAGCAGGGCGGATCTGGAGGTTGCGATGCCACCCTCAGTCACGCTCAGGGTAGGGCCGATTGGGGGGTTGGGGCACCATCCCCTGTCACACTCAAGGCAGGGTCGATGGGGAGGTTGCGGCGCCACCCCCTGTCGTGCACAGAGCAGGGCCAATCAGGGGGTTGGGGCACTGCCCCCTGTCACTTACAGAGCAGGGCCCATCAGGGGGGTTGGGGCTCTGTACCCTGTCACGCACAGAGCAGGGCCAATCAGGGTGTTGGGGCGCTGCCCCCTGTCACGCACAGAGCAGGGCCGATCAGGGGGTTGGGGCGCCGCCACTGTCACACTCAGGGCAGGGCCGATGGGGAGGTTATGGCTCTACCCTGTCACACACAGAGCAGGGCCCGTGGGGGTGCGGGGGGTTGGGGCACTGCACCCTGTCACACACAGAGCACGGCCGATCAGGGGGTTGGGGTGCCGCACCCTGTCACACACAGAGCCGCAGGGCTATCAGGGTGTTGGGGAGCTCCCCGTATCAGGCACAAAGCAGGGCTGATCAGGGGGTTGGGGCGCCCTCCCCTGTCACGAACAGAGCAGGGTGGATAGGGAGGTTGTGGCCCCGCCCCCTGTCACACACAGAGCCACAGGGCGATCAGGGGGTTTGGGCGCTGTCCCCTGTCATGCTGATCCCGATGCTGGGAGGCCTCGCGGCTCCGCTGATCCCGATGCTGGGAGGCCTTGCGGCTCCGCTGATCCCGGTGCTGGGAGGCATATTACCCTTTTACTATATAGGGTAGAGGCCTGGTGCACGGGTGGGTGCCGGCTGGTTTGCCCTGAAGGGTGTCCTGGATCAGGGTGGGGGTCCCCACTGGGGTGCCTGGGCAGCCTGGGTGAGGGGATGATGGCTGTTTGCAACTGGTCACACACCCTTCAGGGTGGGGGTCCCCACTGGGGTGCCTGGCCAGTCTGGGTGAGGGGCTGAGGGCTGTTTTCAGGTTGGGGGTGACTGAAGCTCCCAACCGCTCCTTTTTTTCTTTTTCTTTTTTTTTTTTTATTCTGGGCCTGCTTTAGCTTTGAGGCTTGGCTCCATCTCTTAGGCCTCCGCTGCTGAAAGTAGGTTTCTGGCCTTTGCTTACAATGTTGCGATCCTGCTGGCTGAAGCCCGGCGGACTAAAGCAGGTTTCTGGGGTTTTGTTTAGCTTCTATATTTGTTACATAGTTGCTTAGAGTTGCAGCTCAGAGGCCTGCAGCGGCAGGCGGGGAACGTTGGAGTCCTCTGTCACTGAAGCGAGCAAGCCTCATGTTAGTTTCAAGCTGCCTGGCTGCCGGCCGCCATCTTGGCTGGCAGTTAATTTGCATATTGCCCTGATGAGCCAATGGGAAGGGTAGCGGTCGTACGCCAATTACCATGTTTCTCTTTTATTAGATAGGATAATAACTAAAAAAAGAACAAGTACTGTGAAGGCAAATTTATTTTTGAAACCTCTTTGGCTATTTCAGAATACTCCTCTAACATAATGCTGTTTTATGGAAATAGCTGATATTTCTACCTATAAGTAAGTCTCTGTTGAAATAAGAGTTGATTTTATATTCCTCTGGTAATCCTATATAATAAAGAGGTGATATGCAAATTGAGCATCACTCCAGCACACAAGATAGCCGCTTCCATGTGGACACAAGATGGCTGTCAGGGGAGGGCAGTGTGAGGGACAAGGCCTGAAAGGGAGGGCAGTTGGGGGCGATCAGGCCTGCAGGGGAGGACAGTAAGGGGTGACCGGGCTGGCAGAGGAGGGCAGTTGGGGGTGACCAGGCCTGCAGGGGAGGGCAGTGGGGGTGACCAGGCCGGCAGGGGAGTGCAGTTAGGGGCAATGGGGGTGGCAGGGGAGCATTTAGAAGTTGATCAGGCTGGCAGGGGAGTGGTTAGGGGCAATCAGGCAGGTGAGCGGTTGGGAGCCAGCAGTCCTGGATTGTGAGAGGGGTCCCAGATTGGAGAGGGTGCAGTTTGGGCTGAGGACACCCCCCTCCCCCCGCATGAATTTCGTTCACCGGGCCTCTAGTCTATAATAATAAAAGTGTAATATGCTAATTAGACCAGATGTCCTTCTGGTCGAAGCCCGGGCTGTGAGGGAAATCCAGGTCCTGGGTGCCGGAGGAAAGCCGGTGCTGGCACTGAGGGGAAGAAGGCCTACTCTTGCACGAATTGCGTGCATTGGGCCTTTAGTTTATAAATAAAATGTAGATGGGAATAATTTCAGATCCAGATATGGTGGGAATTGGGTGTTCTAAAACATTTAAATATAGAGAGTATTAAGAAACACTTGATCAAGGGGATTATTTTTGTTTTCTTTTAACTTAAAAGTACTCAAACAGAATGTGAATTTATTTTAGTAAAGACTTTTTTAACTTTTAGAGAGAGAGAGAGAAAGGGATAGGGAGAGAGAGAGAAACATTGATTGGATGCCTCCTATATAAGTCCCAACTAGGTTGAACCTGAAACCTTGGGTATGTGCCCTGACCAGGAATGGAACCCTTGACCCTTCAATGCATGGGACAATGCTCTAACCAACTGAGCCACTCTAGCCAGGGCTAGTAAAGACATTTTTATAGTCATTGATAGCTATGCCAGCCTTGATGTATTAAAGAAATTTTATTTCTTAGCCATCCAACAACCTCTTTACTTACTCTAATTAACTACGAAAAATCAAGTTAATTTACAAATCATTTTGTTGCCTGTCTAGGTCATTAGCCTTATAGGTTAATAAGATTTTATTGTGAGTCTAGATCAATCTACTTAATATATAATTTTTATGTTAATTTGAACTGCACCTTCACCTTTTTAAAAATTCTTTATTGTTTAAAGTAATACACGTTTCCTTTTTTCCCCATAGACCTCTCCCCAGCCAGTCCCACTCCCCAGCACATGCCCTCAGCCCCCTACTGTCTGTGTCTAAGGATTTTGCTTAAATGCATACATACAATTCTTTTTGTTTGATCTCTCCCCCTCTGGATGCCTTTTTACACTAATTCACCATTTTTGTGACCATATGGGCTGCTCACTAACTTTTCTTTACTTTTTTTCTTGAAGTAAAAAAATTGGATTGAATAATCTTTTAAGTCCCTTTCTAATCTAAATCATACTAAAAAAAATACAGCTAAGATTGCTTCTTCTGGACACACTGTTATGTGTAGCTAATTTCAGATTTGATTAGATTTTTAGGCGTTTTAGTTTTTTTAACCTCTTCATAAGGATACAGGGATTTTATGCTAAAACGTTTTTTAAAAACTCAAATATACTGTTGCTATGATCAGTCTGTAATTAATTGATGTTTTTTAGCTAATGAGTTGTACAGAAAATGTTTTCTTCAGCAAATAAGGT